TGGGAATTATGGTCTACAGCAGGAAATAGTTATTAATTAAAACTATCGCAAATAAAAAAAATAAGTGAACGTTTGTTATGCATTTTACCACCACATGAAATTTATCGATCACCTCGAGCTTTAAAAGACAGATATAAATGGAAAGCAGCAGAATGGTTATCATGGAATCTGTATTATAGTTTTCTTTGTTTGAAAAATGTATTAGATAGCAAGCTTCTAGAATCGTTTTTACTATTTGTACGTAGTATTAATGTACTCTTATAAGATGACATTTCTGATAGTACGTTGAATCAATGTAAATTTGATCTGTACAAGTTTGTTGGAGAATGTCAATTATATTATGGTGAATCTACCATAACATTTAACATGCATAGTGTTTTACACTTATGTGAATCTGTACGACGATCTGGCTCTTTGTGGGCTACGTCTGCATTTCCATACGAAAGCAAGATCTATAATTTACAACGATTAATTCAAAGTCCAAAAAGTGCAAGCATCCAAATGGTAGAAAATTATTTAAAACGTGTAAATTGTAATAGTTATATGAATACTTGTTCAATCTCTGAAGTTTGTAATTTATTTTGTAAATCAGTTTTTTTCGAACGTCGCACATCTATACTTCATTTTACGAAAGCAGATAACGGAGCAATGCTTCTAGGAGTAGGAAAATTTAACGATGATATTGGAGCATACAATTCAGCATTAAAGAATCAGTTTCCCAATAAAGAAACGGGGCATATTTTTCAACGAAGCATTTTTAAGGGAATTGTTTTACATACTGCCTCTTATTGCAGTTCCATCAAAACAAATGATTCTATAATTCAGTTGCATGAAAATGGAATAGTATTAAAAATATTAAATTTTATTTCAATAAAACGAATATGCTACTGTTTAAGTGAAGAGCTAATAATAGCACCGATTTTTTATGGAGAAATTGAACTTAAACATATTTATGAAGTGGTAGGTATAGGAAAACCGATTTTGTTAAACATACAAGAAATAAAATACAAACTTATAGAAATTTATATAGACGATAAACAATTTTTGTGTAGAATGCCATGTAATTACGATGTATCGTGATGGTTTATATGTGCATATATTAATTCACATGTCTATATAGAGATTTTGTTGTACATCAATATTTTTTATAATACATTATTATAAACTTGTTATATTTATTCACATAATTTGAATAAATTTAATTTGCTGCATTTTTCAACTAATTTATTTTGCCATATAATCAAATTATTTATAACGTTGCTTCAATTCGATTCTTATTAATTTCATTTTCATAAAAATATAAAAATAACTATATATTAATTTATTAAATTAGATTTATACAATAATTACCACATTTTTCATAAATATTTTATAATAATTATCATATTTTTCATATTGCATATGATAGAAAATTGTTAAGTAAAAAATTACATAAAATTTGATCAATTTTCTATCTGTAATTCCATATAAATAACGATTATGTTTCTTGCTTATTCGAATTGATCAATTCTTTTTCGTGTCTTTCATATTAAATTAGATAGAGAACTGTTATGTAAAATATCAAATAAATTTTGATACATTTTCTATCTTTAATTTCATATAAAAAACAAATATGTTAATTACTTATTGTGACTGATAAATTTTCTATCATATATGTTACATTGAATCTAATAGAAGATTCATGTAAAATATCAAATAAAATTTAAGTAATTTTCTATCGTCAATTTCATATAAATTACGAATATGTTAATTAACTCATTGGAACTGATAAGCTTTCTATCATGTATTTTATATTGAATCTGATAGAAGATATTCATGTAAAATATCAAATAAATTCTGAGTGATTTCCTATCGTCAATTTCATATAAATAACGAATATGTCATTTTCTCATAGATCGGAAGA